GGGGCCCAGCAGGGGGCGCGGTGCCAAGGGGGGCCAGCAGGGGGCGCCGTGTCCACGCCGTCTCTCCCCTGCCCAGGTGACCTACTTCCCCTTCGACTGGCAGAACTGCAGCATGGTGTTCCAGTCGTACGCCTATGGCGCCGCCGAGCTCAGCCTGTTGCACCCGCTGGACGAGGACGGGCACGAGGTGCGGGAGATCATTGTCTTCGACAACACCTTCATCGGTGAGCCGGGCACGCCGCACAGACATATATACAACTACACACACACAGGGCTACGCACACACACAGCTACACACACAGAGACCTACACACGCACAGCTACACACACACAGAGAGACACACACAGCTACACATGCATTCAGACACACACATACAGCTACACACAGCTACACACATACACACAGCTACACACAGAGGCACACTCACAGAGCTACACACGCACACAGTTACACACAGAGACACACAGCTACACCCAGCTACATGAACACACAGAGCAACACACACATACCGCAGAGCCATGCATGCACAATCACAACACACACATAGAGCTACAAACACACACACACAGAGCTACAAATGCACAATCAAAACACACCTACACAAACACACAACCACAACACACACACAGCTACACACAAATAGAGTTACACACACACCCCTACACATGCACAGCCACGCACAGAACACACCGTCATCTCAAACACGCACAGAGCTACACACACATGGCCATCTCTCTGTCACACACACACAGCCAGGCATGCACAACCACAACACACACAGAGCTACAGAGAGAGAGAGAGGTACACACACAGAGCCATATCTCACAACACACCGAGTAACACACACACCCAAACAGAGCTACACACTTACATTGACAACCACAACACACACAGAGCGATGCACACAGGAACAACCACAACACACAGCTACACACACACGCAGGGTGTCACACACATCACCACAACACACACAGAGCAACACACACACACACAACTGTCATGCACACAGCAAAAAACACCCACAGCGATACACACACAAAGCCACAGCACACACAGGCAGAATGACACACAGCCGCACCACAAACGCAGTGACGCACGCACAAAGCCAACACACACACAGAGTGACACACACGGAGTGACACACATACAACATGACACACACAGCGCCACCCACATGCACGCAGTTACTTGACACACAGACACAACCTGCACAGCATCACACAGCCAATCCCTGCATATTCTGGGTAGTGATCCCACTTCTAACACCAATTGTCTCTGGACCCCACTCCCCTACCACTCCTAGTGGGGTGACTCCGGATTGGCACCCCTTTGCCCCTAACCCGCTTCTCTGCCCTCCAGACAACGGGCAGTGGGAGATCCGGCACAAGCCAGCGCGGCGCAACACGCTATCTGGGGATCCACAACACGAGGACCTGACCTTCTACCTCATCATCCGCCGCAAGCCGCTCTTCTACATCATCAACGTCATCATCCCCTGCATCCTCATCACCATCCTGGCCATCTTCGTCTTCTACCTGCCCCCCGACGCCGGTGGGTGCCGGGCAGACGGGCACAGGCTGCCCCGGTGCAGTGGGGGGCGGGGGAAGGGCCGGACTCATTCCGGGGCGGGGGGGGCAGGAATCCGGTGCCAGGTTTTCCTCTCCTCCTAGGAACCGCCCCCCCCTTTCCAAGGGGCTGAGGAATCCAGTGCCGGGACTCTGGTCTCCCTCAGCAGACCTGAGTCCATGCTAGATGGGTCCCTTGGCAGACCAGAGGCCAGGTTAGATGGGCCCCACAACCCCCTGTCTCTGGGGACAGACCAGAGGCCATGTTAGATGGGCCCCAAAACCCCCTGTCGCTGGGGAGAGACCAGAGGCCATGGCAGATGGGCCC